CATAATGATTAGGATTACGATTTATTGTTGATATTATCAAACGTTCTTTATTGGCGATCGTTTACATATTATTTCGTCGACGATTTCGTTCAATATCTCACCACGTTTACGACGACGCGTATTCGAATGTTGATCGTTTATGTTGAAATGTTGAAACGATAATTAAATTGATTTAATTTTCAGGTTGTTGCTGCTGGTTTGAATATTCTCTTTATTGGGTTCAGTTGTTGGCTGAGTTCAGTCCAGTATAGTTGAATCTGTTCCATTCCAATTGGGTATCTTCAATTGTTATATTATTTTTTTGGTGCCCATAAACTACGAGGACGACGACGTAAGGAGACGAAACGAAGAAGAGGGATTCTTACAAACCATAAGGATATTTATGATTTGCGGTATTTGGTACTGATCCGGAGCAGTTCACCAATTTGGAGTGCAGATTAATTGAGTGATTCGTTCGTTGATTATCAGCTGCTGTATTGCCGTCGTGGTTGTATATCAGCTATCGTCATTAATTTTCATAGTTGAATCGCATCCTCATATTCGTATCGAATAACACAACAATAGTTGCGCAAAATCATGTCAAAAAGCAGTGATCAATTGGTATTGGAAAGGCGTTTGAAGCCAATTTATGGTAGGTTGCGCAGATTTTTTAAAATTATTGCAATCTGATGAAAATGATAATGATGAAAATGCTCGATTATCTAATAAACGAACAACTCTTCCAAAAATTTTTTACAAAAATTTTTAATAAACAACAATTAATTGAAGATGCAATCGATGCTGGTAATAACAAGAAAGCAATTCAAGAGGCCGATAAAGTTCTTAAAAAACATCCTGCAACACATACGGCTAAGGTGTGTAATCGAATTTTAATTTCAATGCGGCAAGACTTTCTCCTTATTCATGATTATCAGTGACGTTTCATCTCAGATCAAAGGTTACAAATTGAGAAATAAGAATTTTAAGGAGGGAAATTTCAGGTTCTGAAAGCGTTGGCACTGATTCGAAGTGATAAACAAACAGAAGCATGGCCGCTAATAGATGAGGTTGAATCGATGAAAGAGGAGAGCATCGACGAGAACACCCTGCAGGCGATGTGTCATTGTTTTAAGGTTGTGCATCGCTTATTTTTACTGCGTTCTTTTTGTTATTGTT